TCAGAATTAAATGATTATTTGATTTATATATTAAATAAATTAAAAAAGATTTAAAAATGGTATTAGCTTCACACTTATTGTTTAATAGGGAGCACACAAATCCTTGAGAATGAAGAAAAGATTAATTAAAGCCAATAAATAAAATAGACCATTACCAAATTGGTTCAGATATAGAACTGACAATACAATCAGGTATTTGAAATAGCAATTTTTAGATATAATTCAAAGAGAAGACACTGGAGAAGAACTAAGCTTAATATCAATTGAGTCATGATTAACATTATTACATGTACAAATTAACATCAATACTCATTTTATTCAAACTCATTATTTATATTCATATGCATCGAAAATTAAATATATAAATAGCCCAATCGATTTGTTAATTTTACAATATCAATATTCTATGCTATTTCTGTACTTTAACTTAGTAATTTAGCTATTGAATCGATTGCTCTTTATTATCCAATTTTAGAATTATTTATTTCAATATGTTTTTATCATTCTGTATTTGATTTGTTAATTTAAATATATTCATATGCATAATATTTGCTTTCTGTAATCAAAACCCATTTTGATGAAGGAGTTAAGAATATTTTCTTAGGATCTAATAAGTAACTTTATCTACTAAGATTCTTTCAATAATCTTATTTTTAGAGTGTGAGTATTCAATAAGAATCAGAACAATATTAATAAAGACATTTTCTTATCAAATTTAATTTTTAACTCATGTAAAATTATTTGAGTAAACTGTTTGAATTTTTAGACCTTTACCACTTGAACTCCATGTTTAACTATCTCCTATATTCCTCCTTTGATGGGGCTATTTAGAAAAATGAGATTACAGGTAGATTATGTATGCTCCAATTATTTTTGATATTTAGTGAATTTCACCAATAATTGAATAAATTCTTTTACTCCAATCATTATATTACTTATTGATAGAATCAATAAATGATAGAACTTTTAATGAATACTATTCTTCTGTAACGTATTGATAAATTCTAATTTGAAAAATAATTCTTTTTAGTGCATCTGATTTATGAAAGTCATAATGTCTTATTTTTATTGAGTATTTGTAGCCATATTCTCTCATTATCATAATTATTCATACTCATCTTGACTTTTTTGATGACTTTGAATTTGTGTAATCATAAAATAATAATTAGTAATAATATTGATTTGAAAGTCATAAAATGTGTGTTTGCATATTAAAATAAGTGGAATGAGAGAGAGAATGTGAATAATAAAAAATAATTTGTTGAAAAAAAAATAATTAACGTAATAAATATATGTAACAATCTACTGCTAAAAATCTGAGGGACTTGTTAATAAAACAATAACTGAATTCTAAGATCCATTTCAAGGGGGAGCCAATAAAAGCACCAGTGAGAAAACAATCTGGAACTTGGGAATGCCAATGTAATCTAAAACATTGTACAATCTGCTCTCGTAAGAAGGTGAATCAGAGTCCTATGATTCGACAATCAGATTCAAGAAAAGAAATAAAGGTTGGGAGTTCAATATCAGCCCATCAATCACCGAACAGGGAGAAACAGAGTCAGATCTTAATGAATAGACAACCATCAGCAAAAAAACCATCGTACGCAGAGAATATCATATATCATAAAAGCAATGTGAGCAATTCGTAAGTGTACGAACATAGTTATCAATTGAAAAGTAAAGTAATACCAAAAAAAGTTGAGAGCAAAAGCATGTTGAGCAGTACCTAGATGTCATTTAAGTTGAAGTTGGCTAGCAAATACAATTCAGCAAATTCAGTGAATTCAATCAATTCACAATCTCGATCTGAACAGATATTGAACTCGATATCTGAATCAGCTCCAAATTCCCCCAAGAAGGAGAAGCAATCTCACGGTCGTAAATCAGAGTTGAATGATAAAACTCAATTGGTAGCATAATAGGTGGAGAGTGTCCCTCCAGAGATAGTGGGACGTCAACATTTCAAATTTCTATATGTGATTGGGAAGGGAGGCTTTGGTAGAGTATGGAAAGTAGAAATGAAGAAAAATAAAAAGATGTACGCTCTAAAGGAAATGGCAAAGGCTAAGATCATTCAGAAACGTAGTGTAAATTCTGTACTAAATGAGAAATATTTGTTAGAACATCTTCATCATCCCTTCCTTGTTAATATGTCATATGCATTCTAAGAAAGAGAAAATTCATATCTAATCATCGATCTCTTGACCCGGTGGAGATTTACGTTTCCATTTAGGAAAGATGAGAAA